ATGACCAGTCTCAGAAATCCAAGTGAGCATTTCTACTCTGTTCCTTAGGGTGGCTGAGTCAGAACTGACACAATGGCAGCGGGATAACTTTGGTTTACTTAACAGAAGCATTCATTAAAAAATAAAAAATTTTGACTTCGTAGGAAAAACCCATAATCATTTATGAAATTATTAGGAAACTGTAATTAGAGTTGAATGAGTTGGAATTGACTCAATGGCAGTTAACTTTAAAAAATGAATATTCTCAGTTGGATTCATTCAAATGTTACAGAAAAGCAATTCTATCACAATTTAGTTTATTTAATTTCATTTACAACAGAGTCTCCTAGTTGTTTAGGAGTCCTTGGGTGGCACAAATGTTTAAGTACCTCTCTATGGGTCAAAAGACTATCAGGTGGAACCCATGTGAAATGTGGAAGACAGGCCTGCTTCCAAAAGGTCACAGCCTTGAATACTCTCTGGAGCAAGTTCTACTCTGTCACACATGAAGATACATTGAGTAGGGATGAATCAACTCAATTGCAACTAGTAAATAACTGGTTAATTTACAATTTCTTCATATTAACATAAAACCTTTAAATTCATAGGATTAAAACAAAATCTTCAGTAAATATTACTTCAACCTATTTTAGTCGGTTCTCTAAATCTACATTTTACTACCAATTATAAATCAGTTCAGAATAAAATCAAGTACTAGGAATGTTAGAAAAAGCAATGTGGAGGGTGAAGACAGCACTGCAATGATGAGTTCCTAGAGTTTCTATTAAGCACTAGTTTACTGCATGTTTCACATATAAAGACACAGAGATTCATAACAAGCATTTACAAAGTACCTAACAAGTCCTAGTTACAGATCATAATCACATATTTTGCATACAAAGACACACAGACTTATAACAAATAGTTACAACCCTCCCATGATGAAAGCATTTGCCCTTTTGGAGTTGCTGCCCTTTCAAGGGAAGAGTCAAAGAATTCCAACTTAAGTGTGATCACAACATGTAAATGGTCTTAGGGAGGTAGAAAATTGCTGAGGAAATCTACCAAGAAAAAAGAACTTCAGACAGGTGACCCAGAAACAAAGTTAAACTCAACCAACCATAAAAAAGGTTTATTCTGCAAACTTTTAAACGTCACTTTTGTTGCAGCACAATGTTTCACTGTACAGCTCACCTACCATCAAGATCCATGTGCAGAAATACATACTCTTAAGGCCTAAGAAAATTCCTCAAATATATGTGCAACTTAAAGAATGTGATAATTCTGTTTGATGGTGAGCTCTGGTCATGGGTAATCCGGGAGAGAAAAGGTTAAAAATGCCTCCCACGCAAAAAACCAAAAACAGTTCCTGAAGAAAACCTATGGAGGCTCAGTTCTAGCCTGACACAGTGCCACGAATCAGAACGACTCAACAGCAACTGGTTTACTAACAAGTTTTAGTTATGAGAAACATGTATTTAAAATAATAGAAACAGAGGTAGAAATCCTTTCAGTATGTGGACAGACGGATCTCGACTTCATCATTTAAAAGTGATCAGCACAACACTGTACAGAATGCCCAACTTTTTTTTCAGAGCACCAGAAATTTATTGAACCTTTCACTTTCCCAAAAGCACACAAGGAGATATGGAGGGGATCCCAGGCTTGCTCTTTCAGCCCAAGGCAGAGACCCAAGACAGCTTGGCCCACTGCCCAGAGCCAGAATGTCAACCTTGCTGGTATATTCTTTTGGAGCTCTAATATATTTTAATTCTAAAAACAAAAAACACCCCAAAACAGAAAAAAACCAGGAGGGAAAAGTAGTAAAAAGAAAAAGCAGGACAAGTATAGAACAGCCAGTGCAAAAAGCTTTCTAAAAGCGTCAAAACCCTTAAAACGTTATTATCCCCTTTGCCTTGTATTTCCACTTCTAGAAGATTATTCCAAAGAAATAATCAAGGACATGAAAAGCAATCTATACGACTTACAAATCTGAATCACTGGTATCAGTCCTGCTTGAGAAAGATGTTGAGGTCGGCAGCTGTGAAGATTCCAGCCTTGAAATCCCTTGGAGCAGTCTCCTCTGTCCTAGGTGATCACTAGGCCAGAAGCATTCTGACAGCATGGACTGGATGGAAGGAAGGTCAATTCCTAAGCACATTATTTTGAAAAACATACACTGATACAAACTGCCCTTAAATTAAAAAGAATAGTATATATAGTTTTGGTATAAGCCAAAACACAAACAAACAAACCCCAATTCATTGTCATTGAGTCAATTCTGACTCATAATGATCCTATAGGACAGGACAGAAATGCCCCTGTGGGTTTCTGAGACTCTTAGCGGGGCTAGAAAGCCTCCTAGTTCTCCCAACTAATGGTATATCTATCCTACAAAATACTATATAGCCAAGGAAAGATGCTTTGTGGACAATATACCCAATGTTTCCTATAGAGAGGAAACAAACACATGGGTAACAAAATATCTAGAATAATCTTGATTTTGTGACACAAAACCAAACCCTCTTTGTAATATGTAAGCACAGTATAAACTGGTTTGTTCTGGTAGATGGAATTTAAGAAATTTTGTTTTCTTATACTTTTTTGTACTTTCAAAATGACCACTTACATGCATTTGTATCAGATTTATATCTGATAGTTTATAAAGTTAGAAAGTAGAATTATAAGTGATTATTACCTGGGAAATTCAGTAGCATTAGATTGTTGAATAGTCTTTTCTTAAAAAAAGGTTTTTTGCTTGTTTTTAAAAAGATCATTTCATTTCTAAATACATATTGACAAGATCTTCAAAGGCTGTTTTCACATGGGGAAAATCATGAATTTTCAGTGTTTCATGAGAAAACTATTAAGTACTACACACCTAGATGTGAGGACCTGAATGGGTAAAGAAATCGATACCAGATTAAGCACAAAGTTTCAGTCAATTGGACTCACAGGGAATCTTACAGGACTGAGCCAAATTGCTTCATAGGGTCGCCAAGGCGGTGAAGCTTCAGAGAAGCCCAGAGGCGGGTTCCAACGTTTGGGTTAGCAGGCAAGTGTACTGTGCACTAGGGCTCCCTAAGAACTCTCTAGGGCTGCCTGTTTGTGAGGTTAATCCAAAAAGATCACATCAGAAAGCTAGTAATACTGTACAGCCTCACTTGAACCCTTAACCAAACAAAACTTCCAGTTACTATTTGTTTCATCCCCTCCTTCTGGCTCTCTAGTAGTCCAGAGAAAACTTTCCCAGGAGATCTCCCCATCGTAAAAGATTTTTACAAATAGGGCTCACCTCAGAAATCCGAGTATTTGTGTTGAATGTATTTTCCACGGAGCAACTGTCAAAAAAATTAGTGAAAATAGTTAAATCACTTAACCACCCAAGGAAGCTATAATGCTGAAAACAGAAGTGTTAAGAGAACAGTCTGATTATTAAGTTTCCATCCAGGTCACTCTAGAAAATGTGACCATACAGTATATTTCCTTAAACAGTAATCTTGAGGAAAAGCTGCCGCTATGAATGAAAAATGGGTTCGCTCTGAGTGCCCTTGTTGAGTGAACTTAGTACACGTGGAATACTGTGTATCACGTTTTTATTATCAGTCTGCAACACTTTTCAATTAACACTCCAGTGTCACTCTTAATGTCTGCAGGCGTTTGTTACATTGAACCGCGACTCTTAACTGTAACAAAAACCTGCAGATATTAAGAGTTGCAGGCTTTTGTTACAGTTAACGGCGCAATCTGCAGAGAGCAACACCGACGGCAGCCTTGACAGTCTATTCGCTCTTGAACTTGGCGTTTTCAGACCCCACCAAATCACTGAGTAAGGCGCACAGCCACGGGCAGTGGGGCACAGGCCCGTGACCAAGGTCAGTGGCAGCGCGTGGGCACTCGGAGCTTCCTCAGTCTCCCCGAGGCTTGGTCGGGTGAGCAGCACGCGGAAACACACACTCCCCACGTAGGACGCGTCTGAGTCAGAGCCCAGCCATTCCACTCCTGCCTCCTGCCGGCGCCCGGCCGGGACGACCCGGCTGGCCAGTGTCCAGTCCCCGAAACTCAACTCCAAAGGGAGGGGGCACAGCTTGCAGAGATCAGGAGACCCTCGCCGCCGACGGAGAAGTGCGCCGTGCACGCCTCTCTCTCGCAGTCGGCGGGAGAGGAAGCCGCGCCCCCTCGCCGCCCGCCCCACTCCCCGCCCCGCTGCGGAGAGGACTTTCTTCGCCATGGCTGGCAGGCGGCCCCTCCACTTCCGGTGGCGCTAAAGCTGCGCCATGCCCTGATCAGCCTGACAACCGGAGCCTCCAACTGACCTTCGTGACTGGCCTGTGCCTCCTCCGATATCCACTGAGCGCTGTTCTGGAGGGAGCGCTGACGGGGTCCCGGCCTCGGATGACTCTGCGCGACAGAGACTCTCCTCCCTTCTCGCCAGAAACATAAAATACGATAGAGCCGCGGCCACCGCTGCCGAGACAAAATGGCGCCGAGAAACGGGGTTAGCGCAGGCGCCTTGGAAGGACCGTGCCCCGCCCCCGTGCGAGCCCCTGGCCGCGGCTCTGGGTTCGGTTTCCATGGGACACCTCGCCGCCAATCCTCGGGCGAACTGCTCTTCCTGACCCCTCAGCCGGCCAATCAGCGCTCAGTTAAGCACATCCGGAGACGTCTCGTCCAATCATTTCTCAGGACTAGCTTACTCAATCCCCTCCTGTCCAGTAGTGCTGGCTAGCGAAAATAGCCAACCATAAGTGGAAGATACCCTACCTGCTGGTTTTCACACCAATCCGTGAAGTTTCAGAGCTGCATCCAATGAGGACGGCAGCTGGCGAGCGCCAATCGGAAGCGCTTCGGCGTCATGAGCAGCCAATGGGAGTTCGTGTAGAAGCGAATCGGCTCCACAGCTTGTTATTTGGTGGATTGTGGCAGTAAATCGGGCTAGTGGGGGACCGGGCGCAGGAACTGCCGCCGCGGCCGGGAGTGGTGCTGCCCGGACCGGGGCCCGCGGGGGTCAGTCGGGCGGAGGACTGGGGAGCTGACAGCGCGCACTTCCCCCGCAGTTGGTAGGTGGAGGGAAGGGAAGCGAGAGGTACTGAATGGACAAGCGGCAGTAGCAGCTGGTGCTGCTGC